TTCTTAGTAACTCTTTGTTTTCTAATTTTCTAAATTTTGTTAACTTATCTTTTCATTCCACCCCCTAACATTATTTTTCGTTTGACTCTCTTATGAGATAATTTTTCTTCATCTTCTGAGTTCTGTTCACTGTATTACATCATCAACTTCTCATCTGACCTCATGTGCACCGAAATTTTAAAATCTTGATCTTCTCCTATCTAGTTACGTAACTATTGCCAAATGTCTTTTGCTGCCACCCCAACAACATAACTGTTAATTAATTTTTTTCAAGATATATATATATACATATATGTCGTAACACTTCAAAAACCCTGTAAATCTCAGCGCCTTATTTTACTATGATGCTCTGAAAATATGCTTGCTGATGGACAAAGGTTGTAAGCAGCTGATGAGAACCAACGAAACAAGATGGACCCAGATTATTCTGCGCCAATGTTTCTTATTTCTTTGTTCAAATTCCATACTATTTTGTTTATTAGATAGATCAGATGGTGAAACAGTATTATTTACTGGATAACTTTTCGAACACAATTTATTACGATTCACAATCAGATAAATTATAATCACATAACTTCGAAACTTCCGTCTCATAGTTTTCTTTATTCCTTCGTATTCGTCGTCGTAGGAGTAGCAGAACTTTCCAGATGTCTAGGTGGACAGGTGTTAAATCATTCCTATTACTTGTATTTGCAGTTGATTTGATAAACAAAGCTCCTTTATCAATCTCTCTCTCCATTCACCTTGTTACATTCGATTTTAAAACTGCCATCTTATCCCATCATCCTGTTGTATGGTTGTGTGTGTAATTGCATGTAGTGAGTGTCATAGCTGAACTATTCTCTAGATTTCTTATCTTATTTGGGTCAATTAATCTAGATTTCACCACTAGGTTTTTACGGTCCGCTAGGCTGACTGCCCCCGTTCTACCAGTTTGCCCTTTGTATTTGACCTGACAATCATTGGAGGTAGGATACTAGATAAACTAAATTGTTTGTCTAATTGCCTCCACAGGATTGATCCTGTAACCGACAAAGCTTGCTTCTAATTGAGTTTGTGGGTGGTTTGAATGCCAGACACTTTTATTCCTGCCAGCATTGTTTAGAATTCTGCGTAAAGTGGTTTCCGAGGTTCTTCCTTGTATGGAAGTACTACTGATGATTTAGATTCCTTATTGTTGGTGTTGTCTTGCGCATATTTGACATGAATGTTTTCATTAATATTATTATTATCATTAACACTATTATTATTATTAATTATATTTTTACATTTCCCTACATACTTTCTATCTAATTTATCAGGGTAATTAATAAGTTTCATAGCTTCACTTATAAGCCTCACTTCCTATCTTAAATTTCGCTTTGGTACTACTTAGTTTTGTGCTCTATTATTTGAACATTTCACCAATCCTATTTTCACTGACATAGGATGGGTGGAATGATTGGAAGTCCAAATATCTGTTTGAATGTATGGGTTTCCTGTAAACACCAGTGTGTGTTAAACTTCCCGTCTTCTTTCCTTTTTACGCTACAATCTAACATTGGAAGTTCCTCTTCCTGACTTTCCAATTCATAAGTAAATCGAATTGCCTCCACCTTTGATAACTCTCAAATCTGTTTATATCCTGTGTTCTAAGTGCAGTGAATATGTCATCTACAAACCTCCACCATACTTTTGGAGTGAGACTGAACGTTTCAATCTCTACGTTTTCCCACCTATCCATTAATATATCCACCACAACGGGGGATATTGGTGGTCCTATGACAACTCCCTCAGTTTGTTTGCATATTTTCCCTTGGAGGAATTCAAATACTGTGGAAGTCAGGCATAACTGAACTCCCAGCATTATGTCCTCAATTAGCAATTTCGTCCCAAGTTCGAGTTCTTGGTCAGAAATGAGTTCGTTTCTAACTGCCTCTATAGCTATATGTATTGGTATACGTTTACATAAACTGACAATGTCAAAACTAACCGTTTTTCTTCATTGTCTAATTTTAACTTATCTAATCTATCTTTTAGTTCATAAGGATTTGTTAGTCTAGATTTTGAGTACCTTTTAAGGGGATGTAATATCATGGCTAAATATAACTCATAACTTTAGATACCTCATATATAGGTGAATTTCTAAAATCAACTATAGGTCTAATAGGGTATCCTGATTTATGAACTTTGACAACACCATACATCCTACTAGGGTTATTAGTTTTGGGCTTTAATTTTAACCGCTTTGACTCACCTAGAGACGGCTTCATTCGGCGTATAAGTTCCGCTGTAGATTTCTTAACCTTATTCATAACTATGTCTATTGATTTATCAATTTCTTCATATGATCCGGTTTGTAAGTGAGTATCCACCTCGTCCAAATAGTCTGATTTGTCTAATATTACTGTTGCATTTCCTTTGTCTGAATATGTAATTACTGCATCCTTGTTATTCTTAAGGTATTTCAGGGCTTCCATCTCTGGTTTAGTCAGGTTAAGCTTTCCTCATGTTTGTCATTTTAATGTCAGTGAACATTCGTTCCAAGTTTGATCATAGATTGATATCAGTTAGAGGACTAGTGGAAACTAGTAATGGAGTACTGGACAGCTGCTACGTCGTCCTAGTATGGGGACTAATCTGCATTTCGCACCCAACGCCGGTTTTCTAGCCCAGGACCTTCTGGATTCAAGGCAAACTCGTAGAATATTCGGCTACTGGGACGGCACTCAATGGCCAACCCATGAATTCTAATTCCTACCAATTCGTCATTTTAGCGTGACCACCAGAGCTTGCCTTGTAAATGGAAGATCCTGGGTCAGAAACCTGGTGATGGGTACGTGCTGCCGATGAGTTCCAAACTAGGGCGAAACTGATATCAATACTTCATCAAAATTGAAATCAAAATAACAATAATTATAATCTGTTTATTGGCAAATGAGATTTTTGTACACTTGATCACAGAGCTGATGTCAGTTGAAGAACTACTGGAAAATTCCACTGAAGTACTAGACAGATTTTCCTTGCTTGTTTACGTCTCCTCTGCATCATGGACCGAATCTAGAATGCAACAGCTGTCCAGCAACTCCATATGGGTTTCTCAATGGTTCCCTAAGTGATGACAGCTTGTGATCAAACATCGAATAACCAATCAAATCGAAGCAGATCAACATCTGTTCATTAATTTGATAGTCACTAACGATTGGCTACATTCACGAAATTACCTGGAGTTTTAGTGCGAAGTCGTGACAGTTGGGTTACACTGACTGGAAGCTGTTATATGTTGTAATTTGACAGAAGTTGGAATTCATGTGCTGGCCATTGGATCGTGTCTCAATGGGCGAACGGACAACAAACTCTCCGTGTAATTCTAAGGTCCTGCGTGCAAACACGAGTGAGTGCATGCTGATGAAGAGTCCTAAACTATACCAAAGTTTGAGGTTGATTGGTGGATGGTAACTAGCATCGGAATCCAGGATGCGCATTTCGTCCTATTTAGGACTCGTTAACTAGATGGATGTACCTGCATTCCTCAGTGAGCAATGATGCCTCGAACCCAGCGTCCATAGTTTCAAACACCAAAGCGTTATCCACTAGACCACTTGGGCCATCCTGGATTCCACTGATAGTCACCATCTAGCAGTCAACTTCTAATTACATGCCCAGATTTCGTTGAAGCATCTGCACAAGAAGCCGGCAGACATGTCAACCTGAGACCAAGCACTTCGATCCGATCAATCAACGAGAAAATCTAAAATTCAACTAAATGCATATGCCAAAGTTTGTTTTGACGCAGTTTAATCCACTATCCAGGTATTCGTTTCAGAAGACGCTGTCTAAAATTCTCTCCTATGAGTGTTACAAAAAGGGATTGATTGGTGAGAACACTGTTTGATCGTGTAAGGAAACTTTGTTAAGAAGAAAACGTGGAAGAAGAATTAGCCACTGTTGAAAAATGCCTGCGTGATAATGGTCAACCACAGAAGTTTATCGATAAACACGGAAAACGTAGTCTTGATAAGCTAAAGGACAAGAGAGTAGAGAAAAAACCCTTCTTTCAACAGATTGCCTTCAAAGGTGATGATACTGCTAGAAGAATAAGATGCAAACTCGACAGTACCCTAAAAACAACATATTTAGCTGCCAAACTTGTATGTGTTTACCAAACTAAGGTTGTTTAAGACAGTCATAAGTGGACAGACTCCCACCTCATGTTATTTCCAGCTGCGTCCACCAATTTACAGAGAGAAAAGTTATTGTCTGAATCGCTGAACACACACACCAAAGAACCTGAGATTAAAGGGTCCACAAGCATTAACCAGTGCTGTCGCACACCGCCATCTACTAGACACTTGCCATATTGTCGACAACTTGAAGTCATTCAAAATAATCAGCAGACCAAAGAAACCTAACCTGCTTCCTTTTGCTGAGGCGATCGCAATCAAACGACTAGAAGCAGAAAGAGACAGTTACGGTTAATCTTGCACTGCCTTGGTGATAACAAAACCCAGAAATTTCACTGCGTCATCTTCTGTCCTGTTCAGAAGGCATGAATTTTTTCTACTAAACATGACTCATCCTACCCCACTTTTTGTCTATTTTATAAAAACGTGTTTTTCTGTTTCTACGTAACCAATCACTTTTTATACTCTTTCTAGTCAAACTTTATTTATACCCACAAAACATCTGGTGAACTCTGTCATTTTGTTGCCAAACCTAGTCATGCAATTCTTCTATAAACAGTCGATCTTTCTCACTCTTAATTATTCAGTAATAATAATAATAATAATAAATAACCTTTCCTTCACGTTCCCAAGGGAACATAAGGCTTCAAGCTAGTGGCTTGAAGTTTCTGTGACAGTGTTTATTTTTTTAAAGGATGGGGTTGCTGGCCTCATGCCCAACCTTTCCTCACTACCAGCATTATTTCTGGCTTGGCGCGATAAAGGAGTGCGTCTGAGTAGGCATTTAATTATATCCATTTTGAACCAACGATTATCCATATTCACTCACCCCTTCCTCTGACGGACTTATCCCATGTCACCCTTCAACCAACTCGACCTTTCCCATTGGGATTCCACAAGAGCGATGGCCTGCATTGGACGGGATGTAATACGATGGTCTACTCAGAGTGAGCCCCGATACATCCATCTCCATTTTCTCCTACATATTGGTTGAGCAGTTGGTTCTTCCTTGGTTCGCTCCTACACTTTCATGTTGCTAATTCTTTCTGGTGTAACTGCCGACTGGCAATTCGATCTTCAATATGGAACCGGCGAAGGTAGGAGTTGCTGATAAAAGTTTGCAGCTGGTTGTTGGAGATGATCTTCGTGACGCGCAATACACATTCCCCACCCATATAGAAGAAATCACTGACTGACTCGCATAACATTTGTGTTGAAAACCCGTATGTTTTAGTTTATACTGAGGCAGAATGCAGAAGATTTCCAAACCGGTTTCACATTGATGAAGGCGTATTTCGCTTTTCCTATTGTGGCGGCCTAGATAAGTCAAGGAAGTAACCTCTTTCAAGTTTCTCCCGTTGATGGTGATTTGTGCGAGTTGTTGTGTGTTGTTGGTCAGTGTGGTATCCTCATCATTTCCATCTTCTTCGTGTTCACCTGCAATCCTCCATTCGCTGCCAGCCAAATCAGCCATTTCGTTAGTTTTCGCCTGTTAGTCTTCGAGTTCGTGTGACCGTATACACCTGTAACTCAGGCGCGTGAAATCTAGATCTTCTAGAGTCTTCTTATCGATGGTCCAGCGTATTCCCGACTCCTCACTTCTCCCAGTCTGACGCATAATCAATTCCACTACAATTAAGAATATCATCGGTGATCAAAAGCAGGTAAGAAGCCTTGTCTTACTTTTGTATTCACTTGGAATGCCTGTTGACTTTTTCGTTGTGGATTGCCTTTTTCAAAATACGTTACACTCAATAATCGGACATCTCGTCACCATTCGTTATTCCATGTCAACAAACGCCTCCTGCTTCCAAGTAACCTACAAAGTGAAGAACAACCTGCCAAAGGCAATGCGTTTCCATCTTCTTTGCATTGCAGTAGCCCTAACCATTCAGTTGGAAGAACCAGAAGTATGCATACAAAAGAAAATTATTCAACCATTTCTACTTTCATAGTAACAACTCCGCTGCTTCGACTTAACTTTTGCTTGTAGGCTTATTTTTCTAACTACTTAAAACTCTTGCATCATTCCGAATGTTGTTTTGTTTCCATGTACACTCTGAGCGCAACTCTTTCATCAAACTATTCATGTTGTTATTACGTAACTCTTCTTTAACAATCGTTTACGACAACTCATCACTTTTGTCACTACCCTCTTATATCAACATCCAATTCATCTGAACTTACTAATTGTATTTTCGTTTGACAAATTTAATGTACACGCACACACATACAAAACAACCATTTATGTATATTTACGATTGAACAGCTATGAAAATGAATTCGCCACCGAAAAGACACTCTTTGCTGAACAATTACTGGTATTTGTACTGATTATTGAGTTGATGTGATATTTACAGGATTGATCATAGGCTGAAAACAGTAGGAGGACTATTCGAAAACCACATAGAAATACGAGGTAGTTGTTTCGCACTTGTCTGGGATTCTTCATCAGCACGCGATAATCATGGTTCTCACTCAGGATCAACCGTGTACAACAAGCCAAGCTCCCAGACCATTCAACCATTTGAACCTGACCCACTGGTCCATGAGCTCCAACTTCTACCAATTCGTCATACACATTTAGTGTAACCACCAACCAGTGTTACAACTTGTTGAGTCTAGGCTGAAATAGACATCCAGTAATTCACTACTGGTTTCCAGAGGTTCTCAAACTGATATCACTTGGTGACCGATCTTGTAGCCAATCAAATTCCTGCAAACGAACACTTGATTGATAAGTGATTGTGTTCATCATGTGGCTTATTCTGTTATTATCTGGTAAATCTGATATGTATTCGTGAGTCTGGTGATTCAATCAAATATCTGTTCAGCAACACCGGTTGGCTGCACACTTGTGATTGACTCAAGGGGTTGGACTTTCTGGCAGCGTCAACCGACGGAATGAAGGACCGTGAGAACATATACTCATCGATGATTTAGGCTGACCGTAGCTCTCTTTCCTAAGCTCGTAGAATTAAGAACTCATGGAAAACTGGATTCCATACTAGGTTAATGTCCAACCAATTAGATTCGTAACTTTAAGACAATGATTTCGATCTCCGAACAGAATTGTCGGCATGTATAACCGAAGGATTCTAACCTAGGATGGAATGGTTGTTTAATACTCCTTCGTTCCCGATAGTTTATAGGCTGTGCGTCGGTGGCACAGTGAAATTTTTCAAAATGACTAGTCATTTCAGAGTAATCAGCTCCAACGCAGAGGAATGAGGTTCAATAGTCTATTTAGCCCCATGACATCTAATCCTAACCGGTGAACTACTAAACATATTCGACAAAACCCTCACTCAACAGCTATCAATCTAGCTGACACAAAACGATGTCATCTGTTAAAACAGGTCAGCCGAAATATTCTTGACTGTAATACAATGTCACCGGGGTTCATATCTCCATCTTCAGATTTCCTAAAACAAAATATTCACTTTCAGAAGGTATCACAACATCATGTAAGGTTGAGGATGACAAGGGTGATGCATACAGAAATGGACTAGCCATTTACACAATTCTAGTAACACTATACCATGAGCTGAACTTATTTTTTGAGAGATGGGTGAGACAGATCTCGAATTTGAAGCAATACCGCCTTTTTCAACAGAAAGTCAATGAAATAGAATAGGCAACACAGTAAGGCCACTGTCACCTTCCGTTATGTACCACAAACAACTTCACACTGCAGAAAGTTGGATGTATTAGTCTCTGTCAATTATATAGAGAACTTTCTTTGCCAGCCACATACATGTACGTCTCAGTTAATCACTTTCTGTCTCAGAAAGTTTCGAGAAATATTCCCTGATAAGAAGAGACAGTAGTCGAACGTACTGACCAACTAACTAACTAACTTGACTACATTTTCCTTCAATTACACTCACTAATATAAACATGTTTTCTCCCCTGTACAGAATCAAAAAGACGGTTACAGAGGAGAAAATATTCTTTTCGATCAAGTCATCAACTCGGCCGTAAATTCGTGTGTGGGTGAGAAAGCCTCATAGTTATTTCCGGTCGGTGAAGAATCAAATTAATAAAATTACAAAATCTAATAAACACGAAGATTGGATAATACAAAAGATAACACGAATATAATCACTGAGGAAGGATGTCCATTTTGCCCAATTACGGATTAAAACCGCATTGATAACACAATAGGCAGCAAGTTCGGATGAAATAATACTGGAACTGAATGGATGTTTTTATGATAAATGACTGACTGAATTTCAACACATGTTTGCATAGAAGAACAAACAAATCGGTAGACATAGTCCTTCTCTCAAAAGTGATATCATCTTGCGATGACGCCTTCCATGGCTTCGGCACGTGCTACAAATGTTGTCTTGATAGCTTCCATACCATTCACTGTCTGACAGTCTTCTGATTCAAAGCGAAACGAGAAGTGGTCAGACCATGATGTGGCGCCGTAGAAGGATAGTTTGTGCGCTGCGTTATCATTCATTTGAGTGCGATCCCAGACGTCACTAGGTAATGATCCATCCCATCATCTTACTTCTTATTATTTACTCCACTAATGTAATTTAATGTGGCAACAACAGCTTATGCAAATAGGCCAGATTCTATGCGACGATAATACGCTCATCCCGCCATAGTGAACTTATCAAAGCAGTGTATGCGCCATGATTACTTCCCTATTCAGGGAGCTCACATCCTTAGAATAACAACCCATTCAATAATAAAACAAAATTCATAAATACTTTTAAACCTACCGTGATTCGATCATTCAAGCATTCACCAACATCAATTAGATCCTTCAACAGGCTAGACATCATTTCAGCATATTTCTTCTTCTGATTTTCATGTGCATCCTTCAACTGTGACAGTTCACAGTCTTTACTATGCATTAAACTGGTTTGTAGTAGCAAGGTTTCCTGAGTCTCTTCAAGTTCTTTCGCTTTCGCATTAATCTCCTGAGCCTTTTGGTCATAATTCATTGCTAATTCTTCTAAGGCTTGCAGGACTTCTTTCGCTTCATCTTTCCTCGACTGGTATTTAGCCTTGACACACACACACACACACAATAAGGGGAGAAAAAACTGCATTTAGACGGAACATTTCACAAAAATTACAAAACTGTGAGCATAATAATCCTATCAATACAATACTAGGTGAGTTATGTTGACTTCGGTGAGTATTTCTCCCACAGAGCAGACGGGGTGAGGAAGAAAGGAGGGAGGATGCAGTAAGGATGAAAGTGGATAACTGATACCACCTAGAATATAAAGGGATTAATGGACAGGCAAAATCCAAGTTTGCTGGTTGTCAAAGACGAATGGCAGTCATCATGTGCTTTACAAAGAAGAGCGAAATAACTTCAGTACTATAATACCCGCCGATTCATCACAATTATGATGAAACGGTTGTACTTAAAACAAACACCTACACTTCAGTCTGAAAGTTTCCACAATCTCCTCCCACATCTCATCTATTTACAGTCTTTCTCAACTTAATGTGTGAGTACCACGTGAGTTCAGTAATTTCACTCATCCACTATGAATGACGATAACTCATGCCCACACCATCATAATCATCATCACCAGTGAACCTCAGTCATCATCACTATCATTATTATTTTAAATTTATTGATGACTACATCGCAGTTTTTATCATGAGCAAACATCACTCAGAGAAACATTGGAGAACCAGGAGTGAATACTGTTGGCGCAAGAAGGAGGACCGTTCCATCCCAGCTTCGGAATATTCAGCAGTACGCACCTTGGACCTACAGCTCATAAGTCAAGCTCCCAGACCATTCTAACATTGGGATCCAATACAATGCCTTATGATTCCTATTCTCCACTTTCTTTAGCGTCGGTGTTGTTTTTCTTCTTTTTTCTCTCAACATGTTCAGCTTTCTCTTGACTTTTCGAATGACAATGAAGAATGTGGATATTTGACCGTCTACGATGACAAATGATCTGCGAACATTATTGGTCCCATATCTTACAATTCCTTCGTGAATTACGCATTACCTTCCGTCACGACGTAACTTGGATTACAGTTGTGGAATACACTCTTATACCAATGAAAATGAATTAATTCACCATACTTCACGATTGTAACTTACAACATAACTGATCGTGTCTGTAAAAATAGCCTTCATTTCTTGAAAACACTCGCTTAGAAGAAAATATCTACTATCATTATTATTATTCTACATTGAGTACAATTCACTTGTGATGTTACGATGAAAATGCTGACAAAACTATACAAGTGTATCACTTATTCTAAATTATTACCGAATTTGGATATAAATCAAGAATAAGACTCGATGCCGTACACACTAAAGTTATATGGGGAAGTGACTTCGAGGTGTATTTTTCTCCCAAGTATTTGCAACCCATCCAAAACATACTTCGGTTTATTTTTGTCAATGCGAAGACAATATTTCTATATATCTTGATGTGCTCCATTGAATGACTGGTTATCATATTGTTCCCACAAACCAAAGACAAAAACGTCAGAAACTAAATTTAGGTAATTTAAATAATACTTATCCATGCCTGTACATTTGATGTGCCCTACACAGGTAGGAAAAACAAATATATTTTAT